GGATGCACAACCACAAGCCAGCAAGATATGGAGCCCAGAGCTCCATCTGAGGCCTGCTGCAGAATCCTCTGAAGTGAGCTAACACTTCCAATACCTGTCACACCCCAGCTCTGTGTGTTCTCCCATTGCAGGCTGTGATTCGACTCCTAGGTGACAGCAGACAAGCATCACCACCAACCCTTGCCACTCAGCAATGTCTGACTTTGAACAAGTTGTCCCGCTTTTCTTTCCTTTTCTTTTTTAATGTGTGTGTGTTCATGTTCTTGTGTGTGAGAATGGTCATCTGTGTTCCGTGACACACATGTGGAGGTCAGAGGACAACCTCAGGGTGTTCTCACCTTCCACCTTGTTTGGGACATGCTTCTTGTTGTTCAGCGCTATGTCTATCAAGCTCATCCATCCACCTGAGAGTGCCTACAGGTTCTTCTGTCTCCATCTCCACCTCCCATTCCACCATAGACTGGTGAAACTATGAGTGTGTTAGCTTTTCATGGGTTCCAGGGATCCAAACTCAAGTCTTAACCCTTGTATGGCAAGCACTTTAATCATAGAACCATTTCCCCAGACCCCAGTTGCTTGACTTTTCCAAACCTCCATTTAGTCCTTGTGAAACAGAAGAGTACTGCTCATAGTGCTGCAGGAAGGGTCCATGTGGCCAGAAGTGGAGCTCCACCACAGAGCAGACTCCCAATAAACACAGTCTCTTTCCCTTCCAGGCAATCCATTTACTCTTTCCTCCAGTGCCCAGAGCAAAAGAGACATGGAAGTGGGTATTGAATAAAGGAAGGATCCATCTTACACGATAAGTGAGTGTAAAATATAACATTTAAAATTCATGGCTTTATTCATAACAGTCCTGGGATGGAAACAGCAGAAATGGCCAATAATGGGTGATTACATATATACACATTAAATATTTACACAGTCAAACAAATACTCGTGATAAAAAAGAAGCCAAACACATGCAAAAAGAGCACACCTTGTGACAATATTCAAAAGAGGTTTATAAGTAGTCAAAACTAACCTGATGATAGGAGTCACAATAGCAGATAGCTTTGGTGTTCCTGACCACAGAGGAACACAACGAGACTTCTGGGATGCTGAAAATGTGCTATGTCAGCTGGGTGTTGGTGTCGCACACCTTTAATCCCAGCACTCGGGAGGCAGAGGCAGGCGAATCTCTGTGAGTTCAAGGCCAGCCTGGTCTCCAGAGCGAGTGCCAGGATAGGCTCCAAAGCTACACAAAGAAACCCTGTCTCGAAAAAAAAAAAAAAAAAAAGTGCTATGTCTTGATGTCCGTGGTGGCCACGGTGTAAAAGCTTATCAAGGTGTGTATGTATGTTTGGTGTAGAGGCCAAGGTTAGGGAGTGGGGGACCTGCCACGGAAGTCTTTAAGGTCATATGACCAGGTTGCCCCCAACCCAAAATACCAAACCTCAGTTGGGTAAATTACTCACACATATGTTTAACCAAAAGC